TTAACATTAATTTTTTTAAAAAAACTTGCATACTTAATCGTATATACTTAATTGTTTGTTTTCAATTAAATCAAGAGATGTGAAATTTTTTATAATTAGATTTAACTGTGAATGATCCCATCAACTTTTAGTGAAATAATCATAGTTAGAGCCAGTAATTAATTCATTCCCTAATCAATGTTACTTTGAAATAAACACATTAAATATATAAGATTGAGTACGTGAGTTTTACTCCTTTCTTTTCTTTCCTTTTGCAACAATTAAGGATGAAGATGTTTGTCTTATTGACACCGATCAGGGAATTATCCTGCCGAAAAATGCCCTCATCGATCATGTTTCTCGCTATATGATTTCAAAATGAGGTACCTTAAACTCGAAATTAATAATACCTCTGTAATAAAAGTTAAAAAATAATAATAATAATAATATTTTTTTTAAAAAATTCTTCTCTTAGATAGTTGGAAATTAAATCAGTCAGCAGTGACATTATTAAATCTTGATCGAACATCCTCTTAGATGTCATGCATGTGGTACCGGCGCGGACATTTTTTGTTAAAAAAAAAATGTGGTTAATGTGCGTGTTAACGGCAAGGGAGAAATTGATAGGTTTTTAAATGTTTACAAGAAAAAAAATAATCCAAAATCAAGTCTAAAACACCTATAGCGTCGGTGTGAAAAGTTTGAGTACAAAAATGATGGTTTATGAGTTGTGGTCTCCACCTAGTCACATAATTTTATATTAACACTATATTCAATGAAAAATTCAATTAATATATAATATCAAAATTATATTTATAATAAGCTGAATTATTGATTAGAGATTGGTCCCCGGAAAACTAGAGCAGGACTATAAATGTCTTGGTTAAGTGTACGTGTATGCAGATTGATACGAGAGGGTAGGGACATTATATTACTAATAATTAATAATATAAGAGAGGGAGATGGTGTGTGTGGATCTCGAGAAGAGTGTTGATAATGTGAGAATCTAATTTCCATTGAATAGAAGATTGGATTCGGAAGGAGCAGAGGATCTTCTATGTCCTACGTAAAATGGAATTTGTCAGAATAATATGATTTTCTTTCTTCTTCTCTTTCCCATTACCGAAGGCCACTCATGAATCGGGTCAGTTTGACCCACAACATGGACCCAACACTGCCCCTCCAAATATTCTCCACTTTTTCTCATCCTACAATCCAACCACCGCATCATTTCATCTCAAAATTCTATTGTTCATCCACCATCAATAGTGCGCAGCTCATTAAATTGTAGCATAGTGGCACAAGGTGCTCTTGAGTGCAAGAGCTCATGAGTTTCTTTTCCTTTTTTTTTTTTTGGCATGAGGAAGACGATGGAAAACCATGCAAATGACAATAATTTTTAGTCAAGTGAACTTAAGAAAGCTTTTACAATTTAAAACTGACTTGTTTAAAATCTCAATATTTGGGCAATAGCTAAGAGCTTGTATACGAGTCAGTTTGCACAATTATTCACTTATCTAAAAACATATTTAAATGTGATCATCTAATCATTTATAATAAATTCCTTTTTTTATCTTTATGATGGTTTCATATAGAGGGTGATTATTGTTGAACTCATGACAATGTAAGTGCTTCAAGAGAATCAGTATATATATTAACTTTAAAAAACTTATTATTTCAATAAAAGCTGAATCCTTTGAGGATATCCAAAAGTTCGGTAATGATGCTGAGATAATAACTAATGTATTTAGATAAGATTATTATCTAGCTTCCTTTTTTTTTTTTCAATCAAGGATGAGACCTCCATAATTAAACAGCGGCTTCATTTATGTTAATGAGCTTTCTATGTCAAGTCTAACTCAACTAACTTCGGAACAGGTGAGCTTTGAATTAGAATATACTCGGATAAATAGTGGATAGAAGGTGAGTGTGGGTTTTTCTGTGAGTAATAGTTACCTAAAAAAAAGAAAAGAAAAGAAAAAATTAGTGTGCCTCATCATTTTATAACGAGGCTAAACCACCGCGTGTGCAAAATCTTGAAACACAAGGGGTTTGAAATTATTAGAGCTAGGAGCCAAGAAAATATAGGTTAGGCTATATGAGTAGGAACAAATAATCTAATACAAAGGTTAGCTAGGTTGGGTTAAAAAGGAATTGACCCCGCTAAAAATGGGTATTTTCTGGTCTAGATTAGATAACGAGTGGATCAAATGGGATAATCCTAATGGCTTAAAATTGACTTGTTTAACTTATATTATTTATAAAAAAATAAAAAATAAAAAATTGAGGGAGTTTTTGTATCACAGCCTTACAAGATAAACATATTTGAAATAAATGATATAATCTCATACATTTATAATATGAATTTATTTACTTTAGCTATATAGAACATGATGGTAGAACTTATCATTTTAGTGTTATTTTTTAAAAAATTTCTTGTAAAAAAATGAATGGGTTTGTAGATTGGCTCATTTAACCCATTAACACATAATGATTGGATTGAGATTTTCTTAGTTCTCCACTCTTAATGTTGATGGTTAGAACTTATGTCCAATACCAACATGACAGTCAACCATTGACAAGAGATTTTCCTAGTTCTAAAACCTATGCACTGAAGTTATAATTTTGTTAATTTAAAATGAGAGGTGCATTGCCAATCACCGTAACCTGGCTTGTTTCTCAACCTCTATCTATTATCCCTTTGCCTCCTTTTTTATCTCACAACTAAGAGCTCAAATATTACATAGATAACTTAAAAATATGATTTTTTTTTACAACTTTATTCTTATTATTTCTCTGTTTTCATTTTTCCTTTTCCTATATGTGTTGGAGACAATTTTGAAGGGTTAAAATTACAGATTACTTCTCACTCCAACGGTCGAAAGACTACTATACCGCTGCATAATTACAAGAAACCATACTAGCTAATGATTCATAATTTATTATATCTAAAGACTTTTAAAAATTGAAATCTAAGCTAAAGTAATATTTTGGTAGGTCCCACTCATATACCACCTAATATTTAAAATATTATATTTTTTTTTCTAACACCCAAAAGATCAGATTAATTGTACTATGAGCAGAATTTTTTTTTTGACCAACTACTATGAGCAGAAATTTAAGAAGCACCAACAACATCGGCCCATAAAATGTTGGAAAAAAGGCCAATAATAAAAGGTTTATATATATATATGTATATGAATTTACATTTATTTGTATTAAATAGTACTCATAAGGCAGAGGTAAAAAACTTTTCAACTTAAATTGTATGGCCTCCTGATGGAATATTGGAAGAAAAAGGTTGACCCAATTATGACGAAGAAAATTTCCACCACCGGTTGCAAAGTCGCCTCGCAAGGGCTTCTGAGCAGTGAAGAAGATATTGGATGGATTTACTGCTAATTACTGTAATGGACCACCTCAAAAGTAATCATACATGTTCTGCAAGAAATTGTAATTTTCAGATATTTGGGCAGGCGGGTCACCTTCGCATAATTTTTTTTTTTTGGGGTCCTTACTTTCAAAATTAAAAGCGTGCCTCAAAAATTAACGCGCCTTCACAGTACACCGACCAACCGGCTTCCAGCTTGGAGTGGTCCATCAAGCGCCTGATTATCAATTTGGCTACGTCTTCTTTTTCTCTCAAACATCCATTTCAGGTATAGCAGTCTGCTTGTCGACAAAATATATGTGGCCACTAAATTAAAATTGTTCTTCGATAATCATAATGCAAGAAAAAGGTAGAAAAAGTTTAGCTGTGATCAGTAATTAATTAATAAATTGGATCTCTAATCTCTTGCTTTATTATATGTATATACTTCCTTCTGTTTATATATAGTTTATTTTGAAAAATCTTTTTATTATAATTTTTATTTTTTTTTTCAATTATACCCTTTATTTAGTCAATGTGGTAAGAAAATATTGATTATATCCTGCAAGTATGTATAATTAGGACTATAATACAACTCAGTGTTGGATTTGTATTTAATGAGTGGCATAAATCTACATGCTCAATGAGTATTTCATTTGGCATGATAATAACCATTTGATATAAGCAAATGACTGTAAGAGATTTCATCATATGATATTTAGAAAATATTAAATTTTATATTTTTGGAGGGGGACAACATACATGAGAAATATTTTATCGTGAGAAGTGTTTAAAATCTTTGGAGGGAAATTTATTTTGATAATTTTTAAGTGTTGATGAAATTAAATAACTATAATTTGGATACTCATTGAGTAGTGAGTGATTTATACCACTCATCGGATCCAAACTTGTCAATGATTACCTTTTATAGAAAACATAGGGTTCAATTAGATAATATTGCTAACCAGAAAAATTAAACATGGTCATTATTGGACATATTAATTAACCAAAAAGTATTAACTCAATTAATTTTAAAATTACGGCTTTAAATAATGGAAAAGGTGATTTTTTTAAAAGAATAAATGTACAGAAAATATTTTTTCACCCTGTTCTCGAGCATGCCATCTTTTAAGGAATCATTATCAACATGTGTCTAGATAAGAGGGTTATATTGAATCCGAGTGTTTGATTCAAAACACACATCACAGATTTGAATCTAAAAAGTGCCAGAGGTAAAATCAAACAAAGAGATAAATCTATAGGAAGATCCAAATTCATAACCCACTTTTTCTCTCTCAGCTTGTAATCACAAATGCACATCAAATGAAAAGGACTATGTGTAGGTAATCTATGAGATATGACAACTTCCAAACAATAAAACAAGCATGCTTAGATTCAAAAACCCTTACAATAGATCCTGATAGCAACCCTTCCTTGACACAAGTCTAAGTCCTTCGGATAGAATTTGACAATTGACACCCACCAGCAGGCAATAAGCAATTGTGGACCATATATTCTCCAACATGGTCTTCCCTTTAAACCCTCACACTTCTCTTGGTTTCTTAATTCTGGTATAAATGCCTTCCCTTTCATGTTTAGGGCAGACTTTAATGCTCAATCTTGTGTTTAGTACATGTTTGATTGCCAACCCTAGTGGGTAAAGTTGTATTCGATGATTTGTTGCTTTAACCTAATTAATGGAAAAGGCCATGTCCTTCTTCATTAGAATTAAGCCATTCTTTGTTTTTAAGTCACGAGACCCACACTGCGCCATTGTTGATATCAATAAGAGAGAGAGAGAGAGAGAGAGGGAGAGGGAGGGAGGTCCAGAGTGGAATGGCAGAGGAACTGATAGAGAACTTTCAAAGCTCTCTATTCCTTCGTCCATCACTACTCCAACTATAGCCTCTATATTGCGGTCTTGAACTGGAAGTCTTGCAATTTATTATTATTTTTTTCAGAACCTTAGTTTTTCATCTTCCCGATCTTTAAAGAGTGTTTGCCTCATATACATTTCTTTTTTGTCTCCCTCTGTCGGTACCATGTAGGTCTTCCCCCACTACACCCCCTCCACACGCTGATTCTTATTACCTTATCTTCTACCTGCTATATATTATATCTGCTTATCTAACTCTTCATAACTCTACTACTAATAATATTAATCTCTCTTTTTCTTGTGACTTTTGTTGATTCTATATTTGCCTCCAGGAGAACAGAAGAGAACCCATTAGACCTCAACAATTTGCCAGATGACTACTCTAGGGATGGTAAACAAGTCCTCGAAGACACCTCCTCAGGTATAAACTTTAACAAATGTCAAAGTACACCATAAATTTATGACCTTTATTACCATAAAATCGTGCTTTTAATTTCTCGAGGTTATTTCAATTTCTATCGCAGTGCAATTTAGTTTTCAGTTTTCCACCATTTCTATCTGCTATCTGGGCCTTTTTCTTTGTCATCTTTACCTTCTCCTTCCTCGACTTTCTGAGCCTCCAGATAGTGTTTAAGAGATATTTTTAGCAAAAAAGGAAAAAACCAGAGATATTTGAGTGCGAGTGTGGAGGGTGGGTGCTGATAATTAATTTATTAATGACTTTTGGGAAATGGTTGTACCTGTGTTAGAAGTTGCTTTAATAGGTTTGGGTTGGAGCAGGTTGCAGGAAAAAGAAAAGCGGAGGGAAGGATGGAAAAGAAGAGTGTGGTAAGGTCTACGAGTGTAGGTTTTGTTCCCTCAAGTTCTGCAAATCTCAGGCTCTTGGTGGTCACATGAACCGCCATCGCCAAGGCTAGTCTCTCTCTCTCTTTCTCTGGAAACTATGCTTTCTATAACCACTATGATCTGTGTTGTGATTTGATGTGAGTGTGTGTGTGTCTTAAGTGTTTGTTGAATTCTATTGCAGAAAGGGAAACCGAGACTCTTAACCATGCTCGTCAACTCGTTTTCCGAAACGATCATTCCATAGCCGCCCAGTTAGGGTATACGTACTCTTAGAGAGATTAATTATCACTGAACCAGAGAGCTCATGGATTTTGTTCCTTAATCTCGTTGTTTTGTTTTGTTGTTCTTTAGGTGCTGCCAACCAGTAGTGGCAGGGAGCTACAACAACAACAACGTAGGAGATCCAACAACGTCTCTGAGATTTCCCAGATACTTGTCTGCTTCTTCATCTTCATCATCACCTTCTCATGCCCCTCATCAGTCATACCTGTACGCCTCGTCCTCACAACCAGTCTCGTCCTTTCCTTCTCACCACCACCACCACCACCCAGTGATCAGCGATTACTATGTGGGTCACGCCCTTCACAATCACAACTACGTGGCAAGCAGTACTGGCGGCGGCGGCGAGTCTGGTTACACCTCCATCGGTGCACCGGTGGGCCATGTGTTCGGTGGCGGGGACGACGGCTCACTGCATATTCATGAGGAGGATGGGTTGAACCCGGGTCGACACAGCTATTCTGCAGTATATCAGCACCGTGCAGATCCTCCTTCGGCGATCAATCGGTTTCAAGACGGATTTTAATATCGAAGGAGCAAGATTCTCTGAGTCATAGCTTTCTGTTTCACTGAACTTGTTAATGGGCCGGGGTTTAAATCAAGTTTGAGAAGCCTGTAAACATTATTATAAAATTTAAATTTGAAATGCATGGTGGAATGACAGAGACAGGAAATAGAGAGAAATGTAAAAACAAGAGTTAAGGATGATGAGAAAGATACGGTATCGAGAGGGAGAGAGAGACTTAACGAGCTAAGCTGACAGATGTGGTTTCGGGGCTAATGAAGGAGGAGGAGGAGAGAGAGAGAGCAGGACAGCTTTTGAGGTCATCGGCTTTGTTTGGATGGGAGCTAAAAGAAGGGGGGGCTTTGTTTCTCATTTCAATTGGTGTGTAGTGTGTACTATTCACTGTGCCAAAGGGTAACTAATGCCGGTTAGGCAACAAGTTGGATATCAACCCAATGTTTTTGCTTTTCCTTCCATTTCATTGGGTCCCTTTTCCTTCCATGAGTTTAGGGAATTAATTCATAATTAATGCTTTTGATTTCAGAGTACGTTATCACTCTCTCTTTCTTTGCTAACTTCCAATTGGATTAATCTAAGTCAAATACTTGGAATACCATAGCCAAAGCAAAAAATGTGATTTTCCTAGGATTAAAATGATAAAATGTGAGGAGAAATACTCTTTCTGTTCCTTTAATGTACTATTCATTGTTGAGAGAAAATATATTATCTAAGCATGCACAGATTAAGGGAAAAAGTAATATAATGCAAGAAAAAAAAGTAATCAATGCAGAGATAAAGAAAGTTGGTTAAATAAAATAATTATATCTAAAATTTAAAAAATTAGACTAAGTTACCCTTGTAACTAATATGATACAAGTTTGTCTAATAAAATAGAATTTGATTTTATGAGGAGCAATTTAAAAAAAATGTGATAATAAATACTTCTTGAATTTTTATAGTTTTGTCAGGTTCTCTTAATTATATAATAAATTAGATCAAATTAATGAATTTTAGGGTTTTCTATAATTCCAACAACACATTTTAAATATAATTTATATATAGGATGGGAGGTGTATAATTATAGGGAGAATTGTACCTAAGGCTCTTATAATAGAAAAAAGTCACCCCAGATGCAAAACCAAAGACCCTGGATGCAAATTTTCAATATGTATAATATAATATCAATAGAGGATATGATAAGGTCCATACGTAAATAACACAATGTATGTTATTACATATGGTTTGTGTGATTAAGTTAAAAAATCATGTACAAGTTTTCCATGGACAACACAATATCTATAAATAAAATCACAAGGTACATATGTAAATAACACAATGTCTGTAAAGAACATGGCAAAGTTCATACATAAACAACACAATATACATAATCCGTGTGGTTAAGGACAAATATGCCTTTTTATGAAAAAATATATTTGCATTTTGGGCTTTTGAACCTATAGAAATAATTCAAAATGTATTGCACCTTAGGTGTGATTTTTTTCTTTTCTTAAGGCCTTATCAGGTGTCATTCTCCCATATTATAAGCCCCCAAAAAGTGGGTGTATGTCGCCTGGCCAATTTTTAGTATTGTAGGTCGATTGGTAGACTTTTTTTGATCCGATATTGAATTAATGTTAGCTATTAAAAAACTGCAAATATTACACCAGTTTTGAAAGACTGCGTTTTACATTTTTTCATCACATTTTAACTTCTTTGAGAATATTTTCGAGACAACAGCATTTTAACCCAGTTTGCTCAATAGTTAATCATTATCTTAGTTAAAAGTCTATCAATAACTTGTCTTGTTTTTTTTTTTTTAAATAATATCAACGTGTGTGTTTTCGATGCATGTGCTGATTTTAGAAACGAAAAAGTGTTTTCAAAAGCAGATGATCGAGGAAGTCTCATAATCCAGAGTCCAGACAAATCTTTTACATGAAAAGAGAACAATATAATTCAGTGATTTACTCTTCAGTAATATACAAATAACACACTAGTACACAAGTATCTGTCTGTATACTTTGTCCAAATCGATCTGTTTGATTTTATTTATTTTACATTGTGGCATGTAGTTACTACCCAAATTGGGATGAAAGTAAAAGCATGTGATGACAGAGATTAGGATATCGTGGCTTGTTGAAATGATTATGATGCTGATCTCAGGGTGACATGTTTTTTGAATTCCCTTCCACATATAACCACTGCATTTAAAATCCAAACCCTGCATTGTTGATAGAAAAAAGTTCAAAATTGTTCAATGATAGTTATTTGGAAAAACATAATCGTTGATCCTTATAATTTTATTGGATTTTGCTTTTAGTTTCTGTAATTTTTTTAGTACTTTCATTTTTCACAGGCTTAAAAACATTAAAAGCATTGAAACTATAGAAACTAAAAATATTAAAAAAACTATAGAGATTAAAAGCAAAATTTGATGAAACTATAGGAATCATTGATTGTATTTTCTTTAGTTATTTTACAAACTTTTAAAAGAAATTTTATTTTAAAAATGCACCACATTTTTGCTATATCAAAGTTATATCAATTCTATTTCTTTTCCATTTACTTTTAGTTTGGATGAAGAGAAAAATAGAGAAGAAAAAAATATTAAGAGGGAGGACAGCTAAAACCAGTTTAAAAAAAAACAGTTACTATTTTTGGAAAATTTTCCCTTTATTACTTTTCTCTCACTTTTCCCTTCATCCAATGAATTTGGTGTAGTTAGCCCAAAAAAAAAAATGAATATCATAAAGTAAGAAAATTTTGAAAAGAATGAAAGAATATAAATGAAAATTTAATGAAACCATGGGATTTTTTTGGGCTTCTGCTTTGGCTTTCTAGGTATTTGACTAAAACTAATCAAGTTGGTAGCTTGCGGGCACTTTTTTGGGAGGCATACTTCTCACCAAGAATTTAATTGTTGCTACTAGGATTTGGACTCAAGACCTTTAAATATACTGGATAAACTCTCTTACCAGTTGATCCAAGTGCCAATACTAAAATCATGGGATTCAAAGTTGTGTTTAATATAACTTGAGAACATTTTATTTTACTGTTCGTTAGAGTGAATAATATATGAAGGGAAGTAGGACATGCACTTTGGGCTAACTTATGTAGCAAGGATGACAAATGTGGTTATAAATCAAGGGTTTGATTATTTTTTATAAAATAAAAAAGAAGTGAAAATAAAGAAAGCAATTAATATCTTGAAGTCAAAAGGTATTTAATAAAATAATCTCTCAAGTCTCATCCCTCAATGTTATTATTTATAAAAAAAATTGTGATTTTTTCATGCATCCCAAACATTTGGTGATACATTAGCGGAGATGTATTTCTCGTTATATAAATTGGTAATTTGTGAAAAATAAATGAGAGAATAAAATCGAACGGTTTATTAACGTTATTTATACTTTCCAACATTATTACTCATTCTTTTAATATTTTTCGCTTGCATTGATTGTTGTTTTGTGAGTGTTTTAGGTATCATCATTTTATCATCAACAGAGAGTATTTTCTAAAATTTTGATACCTTTCAAAATTGCCACTCATGCTTCCAAAAGAAATGCTGAATTATAACCTCAGAGAATAAAAATAATAATTCTTAAAAATACGAGACTAATTTATTTATTCTATTCATAAAAAATAATTTTTAGATTATTATTATTATTAGCATACATCATAATTTTTCAATTTTTTATATTTTTTCTGGAATTCAGGATGAGTTATTGAAATGTGTTTCCATACAAAAAAAAAAAAGATTGAATGAAGAAGTAGATATGTGTATGGTATGATCAAGTCCGACAAAAGAAGATGAATAAAAAGACTGCAAGTGGTCAATTTTTGGGCGATGACGAACACTGATCCCCAGTAAAACTACCTTCTTCCATATCAGACGCCATATTCTATCACCAGAGAATCCAATCAACATTTAATTTCCTCTCCAATTTCTACGTTGCACAATATCATCTTTGATTCAGCTAGCTGGCCATGGAGAGCTCTGAATTTTCGTCCAAATTCAAAAGTAATATTTAAAAGCAAGCTTATTTATTTTTGTATACTTTGATGGCTCGGTATTTTGTGGTTCCCGTTACATCCACACATCGCCACTCATATCATATCTGCCTCTCTCTCTCCCCTTCCCTGACTTGTGAGAATTTAATGCCTCTCGGGATCAGAGAAGAGAGAGAGAGAGAGACTACTCCATTTGTGCGTTGTGTTGATCTCTGTGACACACTTAAAAAGTTGCATCAAATGTCGCATTCTGAATCTTGACCATGAGAAAAAGAGAAAAGTAAAACTCATCATTAGTACTGCAATAGGGCTGTTGCTATGCTTGCTTTCAATAACTCTGATGAACTTATGACTGAGTTTTAATATCTTCAAATGACACAGCTAAATTGGATTCTCTGCCATAACAATGGATTGTAATTATCAAACATGCATACATATATATATAGAGTTAAAGTTGTTCTATATAATTAATTTGCATCATATGAATAAGTACTCTCCTTGACAGCTTAACATGCTGCAGATGCAGAGAGAAATATAACCATCTATTCAGATGATAGGGACGTAGATTGTTGCTTCTCTGAATTACAACAAAAGGACAGAAAACGTAGCCTGATGTGTAATCTTTAATTCACGCACGAAGCCAAGATCGACCTGCCTAGTGCACGGTTTGGGCCCTGAATTTTCTTCAATTTTTACTTCAATCTTCTCTTTCAAATATCTTTTATATATATTAAGTAGCCCGATAGCATGATTTATATACACACACTAATATTTTTTTTGTTAAAAAATATAAGATATTTTTAATCAAATTTTACGCTTAGTAAAGTAGTTTTTTATTTTTAAACTAACTCTATCTTTTCATATTTATTCCTATTTATATCCTAAAAAAATATAAAGTGATACATTTAATAGGGACACTTATAAAAAAAAGTAATTATTACATCTCAAAAGGTTAAAAATATCTTATATTTTTTAACATTTACTTTATCAAAAAATGTAGACGAAGGGAGTATGTATATATTCCTAGCTTAGTACTGCTGTCTGTGTATATATATATGTGCTTGTTCTCATGCATATGTAGCAACGTGGAGAAGAATAATATAGCTGACCAGATCCATATCTTAGTTTCCTTTTAATGGTGATTTAAAATAGCAACAATTTTGGAATTGTTGGTTCTTGATCTCTCAATATAAGCATAAATTCAAATGAATGACCCATTCCAAAAGATTAGCATGCTCATTGGAAGAGTCTTTTAAATTTATAAACCATACTTTACTTGTATATATAGCTTCCAATGGAACTTAACAAAAACTTCAGAGAACATGCCAATCATTAGTGTTATCAGATCAGTTAGTATATTTTCTGCCCAATAATGTAATGCTGAATCAACATGTGATATTTATGTGGTTATATATTATAATTCAATTCTCAACTAAATATGTCAACTTTCCGAAACC